GCGCCAGTGCACAGAGCAGCCAGCCACTCTGCCCGTACAGGGCTGGTTCACAAATCTTCTGTCTGAAAACCCCAAAACACCTGAAATTTAGTGGGATCAACTGCGGGTCCCTGGGATCTGCACTGCAAAAAGGCTTTGCTGGGAAGTCTTGCAGAAGCAGTTGAGGATCCTGACTCCTATGGTCCTCCATGAGAGTTAGGCACTTTTGGGATGGGGTGTTTGAGCCCTAATGGCTCATCATCATGGTGAGGAAGGCTCCTTGCTCTGCTGAAACCCGGGCCCCATTTCTCAGAGCTGTTCCTCTCCCATAATTCTGTTCTGGTTCTTTCGCAGATAGCATGAACAGAAAGGCCTTTCGGGATGGCATAAAGCCGGGCTGGCACTACTTCGGCAGGAAGATGGTAAGAGGAAGACAGACTCAGTCTTTTGTAGCTACTGGTGACATGGTCAGTGCTGACTGCTGGAGAAACAGCGCTGGTTGTTCTGGTGCTTGACACACTTTGCAAAGTCCACATGACTTGTATTTTTCTCCCTGAAGAACTAGTCAGGAAAATATCAGCCCTGCAGCACTGTGGATGCTCGCCTTTGTGCCCACCAACATGAGCCACTTCTCCACATCTCCCAGGGTTTTATGACCAACCTAAAATGCTCAGGAGCCCTTGGGTGGAAAATGGGAGGAAAAGGCTTTGAAAGTTATGTGGTTTCCCCTCCAGAAAGAAGGGTGTTGGGGCAGGGGTGCAAGGACTGGGGACAGTAAGGCACCGGTGCTACTCCCACAGGATGTGGCCGATTTCGAGTGGGTGATGTGGTTCACCTCGTTCAGGAACGTCATCATCTTCGCCCTCTCAGGACATGTCCTCTTCGGCAAGATCTGCTCCCTGACAGTGCCACAGGTGAGCCAGGGATGTGGTGGGTTGGATTTGAAAGCACCAGGGTGGAGGGGGTTCGAGGGGTGTTCTAGGGTAGGGGGAGAAGAGTTGGGGCTTTCACCAAACTGACCACGGGTTAGGGCTGCTCTTGTGAGACACACACAGAGTCCTGCCTCCAGCTCTGGGGCCCCGACATAAGAAGGATGCGGAGCTGTTGGAGCAAGTCCAGAGGAGGTCACAAAGATGATCAGAGGGCTGAAGTACCTCTGCTATGAGGAACGGCTGAATGAGTTCGCTTATTCAGCGTGTAGAAAAGAAGGTTCTGGGGAGGTCTTTCAATACTTAAACAGGGCCTACAAAAAGCTGGAGAAGAACTTTTTACAAGGGCATGTAGGGATAAGACAAGGCTTTAAATGGCTTTAAACTGAAAGAAGGTAGATTTAGATTAGATATAAGGAAAAAATTCTTTACTGTGAGGGTGGTGAGGCACTGGAACAGGTTGCCCCAAGTGGACTCCAGCAAAGTTGTGTCAGCCCGTCCCTGGACAGGCTGGATGGGGCTTTGAGCAAACTGGTCTAGTGGAAGATCTCCTTGCCTGTGGGTCCCTGCCAATGGCAGGGGGGTTGGAACTAAATGAGCTTTGAGTTCCCTTCCAACCCAAACCATTCTGTGATTCTTCTTGCAGCACCGGGCTGTGGTGTACATGCTGTATGGGTTCTTAGCTGTGCTGAGCAGCATGGGACCCGTCTACCTGATGATCATCCTCTCACACTGCGTTGTCCTCTACTCAGTCGCACTGGCCAAGCAGAAGTGGCTCTGCTATGTGGCCGGGCTCTGCTGTCTCGCCTCCTTCAAGATGGAGCCATTTAGCTCATGGCAGGTAGGTGCTGTCTTGGGCCATCTGTCTGCCTCGCGTCCAGCCCACTTGTGTCTGTCTTCCTGGGTTTACTTCCAAGGTGGGCTCCTGGGGCACCCTCAAACCATGGCCACTTGCCCTTTAGCCACTGGCTACACCAGAGTTCCCACACAGTTTGAGAGGGAGGGGACTCCAGTGCCAGTGAGCTTGGGAATAATGCCACAGGGGCTATGTTGTCTTTTGATGGCTTCATACTGGGCCAGAGTTCAGGACACCTGAGCCCTTCTTGCTGCTCAGTCAACAGCTTGTAAGCCAGGCAAGATGTGCTCCTGCCGCGTGCCTCAATTTCCCCATCTGTAAAACAGTGCTGGGATGGGTCCATGCCTATCTCTTGGCTCTCTGCCCAGTTAAGATCTTCTCTCACTGATGGTGGAGAGGAGCCCAGGAAGGACTTTATAAAGCTATTCAGTCCCTCTGAAGGACAGTGCGGTCCCTCCCTGCCTGCTGCTTACCCCCTGAAATGTGTGTGTCCCCTCCATCAGGCTTGTGCTGGCTTTTCTTCACTCCCTGGGCAGGGTTATGTCCCTGTGGCAGAGTAAGTGCTCCCACCCCAGACTAAAGCCTCTGTAACCTACAGCTGCTTGGTAAAGACATGGCCAAGAGGATCTCCTTCAGGGTGCAGGACCCAGCTGGGAAACTGAGCCCTAGTTCTCTCTTTCCAATAGCAAGGCTCATTAGCACCTGTGACAATTGGTGTCCGAGCATAATTAGAGGCTTTATGTGGTGTCCCAGGAATGATGTCCTCCGCAAAGTGAGGGCACACAGAAGTGACACCATGTTCCTGGTGGTAACTCTTAATTTCTCATCCAGAGCGGGTTTGTAACGGGAGCTTTTGATCTTCAAGATGTCCTGTTCTATGGAGGAAGTGGGTTCACCATCATGCGCTGCATGAGCTTTGCACTTGAGAGCGCTGAGAAGAAAGAGGGTATCTACTCCATCTTCGACCTCCTCAAGTACAACTTCTACCTCCCATTCTTCTTCTTTGGGCCTGTCATGACTTTTGACCAGTTTCTTGCCCAGGTGAGTGCTCTTCAGTAAACCTTTCTCTGCTTTTGCTTGGGTTTAATGCCTACAGAACTCCAGCTTTTGCCACAGTGGAGGTGCAAATGGTTGTAGAGTTTCTCATGATCACCTAGAGTCTGTGGCCATAGTCTGAGCTGCACAATGATGCTGCGATTTTTGTGCGGAGGGGCATAAACTGATGGGGTTTTGACCTTCCCTTTTGGGTTTTTGGTCATTTCCACTGGTCAGTTCAGAACGGAAAACATTGCTGTAGCAATAGCATCATGCTGGAGTGAGGAGGGAAGGGTTCAGATCATGTCCTTGTTCGTTGGGTACCTGTGGTGCTTGATGCCTCAGTTTCCGAGTGCTCCCACCCCAACAGCTCCGTGCTGCCCCACTGTGCTGTGCTGGGAGGCCACGATGAGAGCCAGACCTGTGGCGCCCATCTTCAGGGCCTCTGCATGCTGGTGGTTGGGACAGCAAGGGCAGTCTCACGCTTCTGTCCAGCTGGTTTGCCCAAGAAGTGACCATCCAGTGTTTCTGAGGATGGTCTCTGTGTCTTCAGATGAAGTTATTTCTCTAGAAATAAATAATATTTCTCTAGAAATAAGTAAGATTGCAAATAGAAATAAATAAGATGGCAAATAGAAATAAAGAAGCAACCAGGGTCTTCCTCTGATCTCCATGAAATACCCTGGTCCCCCAACTTTTTGCCTGTATTACACTAAACCAGGGGAGCTTTGTGAAGAGCAGACTTCAAATAGCACAGGAAAACATCAGCAGAAGGCTGGGCTGGGACCAGCCAACTGCTGGGGCTGTTTCACAGCCAGATCATGAAAAACAGCAGTGCTCTCTCCCTCCTCACTCTTCCCATCTCTACATCCTCTTTTACACCAATGATCAACCTTGGCCATCAAATCAGACTGGTACTGTTTGTTAAGGAAGGGACCTCTTGGTCAGCAATGGTGCTGAGAAAGACTGACACCCCTCTGTTTCCTTTCACATAAGAACAGTGAAATTGAATTTTTGGACCCAAATTGACCTCTGAGTGCAAGAGCATTCTGGAAGAATGTTTGTGAATTCAGAAGAAATAGCCCAGAGCCTCCCTGGAGAGGAGGAGACTGAAGATCCACCCAGCTCAGCACCTTCTCTCCAGTGCTGGGCTAGTACTGGTTGTCTAAAAAAGGGTCTGCACTTGTTTTGTTTCCTCCAGTGAGCAGGATGAGCCCAGATCTGAGTCCTGCTCCTTGCTGCTGCATCACCTGGGGAGTGAATAACCTTGTGCAGCGTGTTGGAAGGAACAGGATCCGTTGGGTCTTACAGGATCTATTTAAAAGGACTTTAGCAGCATTTAGACCCTGAAGATCGTAAGATCATTATGTCCCTTATAAGGAATGTTTGTGGTGCACTGAGTCTGCCATCAGCCCATTCTCAGCAGACAAGCACCAGGGATGGCCAGGCTGCTGGAAGAAATGTTCCACCATAAGGCTTCACCTTTCCAGTCTTATCTGTCAGGCTGACTTCCAGGCGAGCATGGCTCCAGCAGCCCCACTGTCCAAGCCCCACTGGAGGGGATACAGTGCCTTGGGGTGCCCTCCCCACCCCATGTTTCTCTTCTTTCCCCCTTTTTCATCAATCTTTCCTATGAAATGGGCAGCACTGGCTTCTCCTAACACTGCAGCCATGTGTCTGTAAATCAGGGCATTAAACTCCTCACATCTGCAGCACATTAACTCCATCACTCCTACAAATCTTGGTCTGCAGCGATTATAATTTACAGCATCATGGTATGGTTTGGCGTGGAAGTGACCTTAAAGATCATCTAGATCCAACGCCCTGCTCCCTTGCACAGCTCCAAACCAGGATGTCTCTGGCCACTTAATGAGCAATTCCCCCGTCTGCTGCTTAAAACGCCCACCCCAAAAGGCACAAGAAGTCCCAACACCTTTTCCACACCCCAGCCAGAGGTCCTGTCTTGGCCACTACTGCCATCTCCTGGCTAAACACTCCCCTGCTCTGCTGGAGCTGCAGCTCATCGCAGAGGTGAATTCCTGATTGCCCAGCAGCAATTACGGGGGCAGGCAGATGGAGTCTCTTCCCCAGCGTGGGGTGTGCGGCCCAGTTAGGAAACACATCTGTATCTTTGTCTCCTCCTGCTGCTACATCCTGGTAGAGCCCTTGCACCCCCATGTGTGATGGGACCTCACCACTACCAGGGCTTGATCAGCTGCATTTGAGATGAAAAGCATCTTCCTTACTAGGATCAAGGGAACAAATTCACTTCTGTAGGGCTGGAAGTGTGGGGCACAAAGCCCTGATGATAAAGGGATGATACCACCACACTCAGACATGAGGATAAGGGGAAATGGCCTCAAGTTGTGCCAGGGGAGGTTTAAACCGGATATTAGGAAAAATTCTTCACTGAAAGGAGTGTCAAGCATTGGAACAGGCTGCCCAGGGAAGTGGTTGAGTCACCATCCCTGGTGGAATTTAAAAAACCTGTAGATGTGGCACCTGGGGACATGGTTTAGTGGTGGACTTGGTAGTGGTGGACTTGGTGATCCTAAGGGTCTTCTCCAAATGTTCTTCTCTAAATGTTTCTATGAAAGGGGGTGCCCATGTCCTCCTGCACATCTCCATGCCAGAGACTGTCCTCCCTTGGCTTCTCTTTCAGCTCAGGGTCCAGTGGCCTCTTTGTACCCTTGAAGCACTTAGGAAAAAGCTGTCTCTGAAAGGAGTGTCAAGCATTGGACCATGCTGCCCAGGGAAGTGGTTGAGTCACCATCCCTGGTGGAATTTAAAAAACCTGTAGATGTGGCACCTGGGGACATGGTTTAGTGGTGGACTTGGTAGTGGTGGACTTGGTGATCCTAAGGGTCTTCTCCAAATGTTCTTCTCTAAATGTTTCTATGAAAGGGGGTGCCCATGTCCTCCTGCACATCTCCATGCCAGAGACTGTCCTCCCTTGGCTTCTCTTTCAGCTCAGGGTCCAGTGGCCTCTTTGTACCCTTGAAGCACTTGGCATATAACAGACATGAAAGAAATCTGGCAAAGGCTTTAATGCTCAGAAATCATCTGGATTTGATGATGGGCCTGGTGTGGCAGCCTGTGGATTATGCTGGGAGAGCTCCCATCTCTCGCAGGGAATAAAGGGAAAGTAATAAACCTAAGAGGATTTTGAATACAGCAGCAATTTTTATGGCGATGCGGGGAAGCGAGGACATCAGTCTGCCCAGTGTAATCCTGAAAGCTTGCTCGGATGGTGATTATATTACAACAGCCAGAGACATGACAGCTCCAGGAGGCAAAGCCCGGCCCCCTGTTTGTTCAAGACACAGCAGAGATGAAATCCCCATGGATTAGCTCCCAACCTATTCAGGATGGCATCTCCTCTCTCATTTACAGCAAGTGTCTTCAGCAGAAGCTCCAGAGATCATTAGTCATCTTCCTCCTCCTCCCAAATGATCCCGGCCTTGGCAGAGCTATAGGTGTGATTCCAACACCGTTCCCAACCTCTCCTGGGCAAGGGACTTTATACAAGGGCTTGCAGGGATATAACAAGGGGGAATGGCTTTGAATTGCCAGAGGAGAGATTTAAATTCGATATCAGGAAAAAATTCTTCACTATTCCTATATTAGGAAGAAGTTCTTCCCTGTGAGGGAGGTGAGACACTGGCACATGTTGCCCAGAGAAGCTGTGGCTGCCCCATCCCTCGCAGTGTTCAAGGCCAGGTTGGACGGGGCTTGGAGCAACCTGCTCTAGTGGAAGGTGTCCCTGCCCATGACAGGGGAGTTTGAACTGCATGAGCTTTAAGATCCCTTCCAGTTCAAACCATTCTGTAATTCCTTGTCCTTCCCTCAGGCTGTGGTATCCTGTAGATGTGATGGGTATTGGCATTTGCTCTCCCTTAGTGACCTGTGCATGGCTCCACCCTTAAGAAAACTTGACTTTCTGAACATGTCCCCACAGAAAGAGCATAAACCCCAGCTCCCTGGTCGGTATGGTTTTAACCCCAGCTCAGGTCCCTTAGATACAACCAGACCTGTGGTGTCACACCATGTGCCTGCTCTGCTGGAAGCCACAACAGTGGGAACAGCCTTTGCTAGGAGGGTGATCCAGGAGGCACATTGCTGCTGTGCTCAGCGCTGAGGTGCCGGTATTGGAGGGACACCCTTGGGTGTTCCTACATCAGTGGCAATTTGTGTCATGTAGGCCATGGTGTGATTCTGAAGGGCAGCACTGAGTCCCTGTTTGGACCATTTCCCTGGACGGAAGAACACGCTGCCTGTCTCTCAGCTCAGCCCTTTCCTGGTTTGCCATCCTGGGCAGGTGAGCACCCGAGAGCTAAGACGCAAAGATGATGAGATGAGGAACATCCGGGTCCATGCCCTTATCCATGTGGGGGCCGTCATTGCTGTGGACATCTTCTTCCACTTCTTCTACATCCTCACTCTTCCTTCTGACCTGAAGTTCATGAACCGCCTCTCGGACTGGTCCTTGGGTGAGTGGCCGTGCTTGGACAGGTTCACACCTGTACTCAGCTTCAGGGCAGTGGTGAGTGATTCCGATCTCCATCCACCCTCACTGAGAGGCTTTGGCAATGCCTTTTGTCGGACAGGCTTTAGAAAACCCCCTCTTCTTCCCATTGATAATGCACAGAGCTGGGGTCAGGCAGCCTTGGAAAGCAGGAGGTGATGGTGTGATGTTCTCACAAGGTCCCAGTGTAAATTGTTCAGCTGCTGGTTTAAGAGGCTGAGCACCAAGCCGTCCCCTTTGACTTTGTTCTGGGCTTGGAGGGAGCTCAGCACCTCCAAAAAATCAGCACCATGCTGTTGCAAGAGGCACATCTGACATCTCAGATGCCTTCTCAGGTGGTCACCCCTTATAGGTATTTGTGAGCCACTGAAATAGCCCCTCTGTGTAGGTTGTACAGAGAGCAACTCAGGGGAGTTGTAGCTGCTGTCTTCAACTGCCTAATGGAGTGGAGGTGGACTTTTCTTGGAGGCTGGCAGGGAAGCAGCAAGATGCAGCAAGCAAGGTGCAGCAATAGGAATTAGAAATCTTTAGTGTTTGTTCCTACAGGGTTTGTCTTCCCGTGTCAGACTCCTCCTCTCCAAGACAGTCTCGTTTGACTCTCATTTTTGCTCCAGCTGGCCTGGCCTACTCCAATTTGGTGTATGACTGGGTGAAAGCTGCTGTCATGTTTGGGGTCATCAACACCATTGCCAGACTCGACCACTTGGACCCACCCCAGCCCCCCAAATGCATCACCATGCTCTACGTCTTTGCAGAAACGTAAGTACCCCACATGCAATGAAGAGAGATGGCATGTTTGACCTGAATGAAACACTCTTTGGGGGGGAGACATCTTGGCTGGGATTCTGAGGAGCTGGCCTATGAGTTGGAGACTATCTACATTGAGCATATATACTGAACCTATAGCCTAGACCTGACCATAGCCTAGGGAAATATTCTTGGGCAGGAAGCAATAGATAAGAAGAGAGGTTACCACAGCATGAACAGTGGGACCTGTTCAAGGAAGGAACATGGAGAACTGCTATGAACAAGGCTCAAGATGTATCTTTTCAGGGGATTGGGTGCCTTCTCTGGCTGACCGCTGCGTGGAAGGGTGTCATTCATTACACTGCGTGTTTTAATGCTTTGTATCATCTGCATTTTAGGCATTTTGACAGAGGGATTAACGACTGGCTATGCAAGTAAGTGTTAACCATCTCTAGTCTGGTTCAGGTTTTATCTTTCATCACATAGCAATGAAGCATTAAATGCTGTTCATCCCAAAGCTGAGGTGTCCTCTATTATGAATGAATCCCACTATGGCATGAAGTCATATTTGGAATATTTACCCCTAATACCATTGAATTAATCACCACAAAGGGCCACAGCCCTCTGCCAAAGTTAGGAATAGGAGGGTTCTGTCCAGAGATCCCTTTAAGTCTGGTGGGTTTAGCATTCCCTCAAGGGAGGAAGAGTCAGGTTCGTATTCCACCAGCAGAAAAGGGGCATTGAGCCCAGGTCTCCCATATCCTGGGTAACAAGGGTGGCCTGAGCTGTATCTACACCTCCCTGAGCCTGCCAGCTCTCTTCAGCCACAAGTTCACAGCAGTAAACCTTTACTGAAGGTAGTGGCTGTGGCTGCTCTGTGATGAAATCCTGTGCAGCAGGAAGCCTGAGATAGCCTGCAGCTCTACAGATCCCCACGGCTTAGCAACCCTTCAGCTGCAAGAGGGGGAAAGGGTGCTGGACTGCAGCAATAATCAGTTTATTGCTAGAATGTGTCAGCCAAAACATCCTCCCTTTCTTGCTGGGGTGCTCTATGTCGACCTGCCCGTGGAAGTCTTGTGGTGGGTGAGCATGGATAAGGGACTCCAGAGGGGTCTCATTGACTACAGGGAGCACCAAATTCTTCCCTTGCCATTAGGTACGTGTATGATCACATCGGAGAGAACCATGACAACATCATTAAGGAACTCATGGCCTCCATCGCCACCTTTGCCATCACCACCCTGTGGCTGGGACCCTGTGAGATCGTTTACATCTGGTCTGTCTTCAACTGCTTTGGCCTCAACTTTGAGCTTTGGGTGCAGAAGTTCTTCCAGCAGGCACCCTTTGTCAAACTGGAGGTGAGGAGCTAGGCTGCAAGTGGATGGGGAAAGGTCAATGGGTCTGGGACCAAACTCTGGTGCTGGAAAACATCCATGACTGCAGGGAGATCAAACTTTGTTATACAAGTCAGATCCATTTTTAGCCGAGACTGAAGAGCAACATCACTGATGAAGCTATGCAGCTCCATGTTCAGGCCTCCTGTGTGGAGACCTGAAGCTTTTTCCTGTGGCCTTTAGCATCCTTGCGATCAGCTGCTTAGCTGGCCAGGGGAAACACAGCCCTGGTGCTCTGTATCCCTTCAATTTACGCACTGTGTCACCCACCCAGAGCAAATTCCCACATGCCCCTGTGACATTTAGGCTTGGTGTGGAGCTTTCAGAGGGAAAATGGAGGTCCAAGAGAACAAGAAGTGCAGCCCCAATGAGTGTCAAAGTACCCCAGATAGACACACAATCTGAGGTCTGTTCATGGTGAATTGTTTATACGTTTCCATATAAAAATAATTTGTTCTTGTTCTGCAAAATATCTTGATATTCTGAGTGGTTTTGATGTTTTGATCTGATTTCTGATAAAAGCAAATTTTAGGTATTAGAATGAATCATTTTCCAACCACTCCAAAGCTTAGTCCCCTGCCTCTGGGACCAAGGTACCTTGGGGATATGTTGGAAGAAAAACTTAGGAAACTCCATCCTGGAAACAATTATGTTGCTTAATTTTTTTTGCCCAATCTAAAGTCTGGAGGTTCTAAACCATCTCAGTAAAGACCTCTTTTGAACAAAAACTTTGGAGAGGAGTCCTCCCATTTGCCCTCCTCACTGAACTTCCAATCAGATTATAGCACTCACAGGCAGAGAAATCTGCTTCCCTGCGGCACTGCAATTCTCAGCACTAAGTGGCCTGGGGATTCATCATGCTCTTTGAAGACTGCTATAAACTACTTCTCTGCCTCACTCACAGCAGCTGCTCCTGAGGATTATATGCCAGTGACAATTTCACTCTGCTGCTGTCACCAGTTTCCAGCTTGTTGGGGTTTTTTTAATTCCTAGGAAACAATTTCTACCAGGAGGTGGGAGTAATATGCACACAGGGCTAATAATAATCCTGGTATAAAAGAGCATTCCTCTGCCTTGAGGAATGGCTTAGCCCAGGCAACAGATGAAGGAAGCAGTACTCAACCTTTACAATTAGCATGAAACCATGTGTAATATCTTGCCCTTACCCATGGGACTTTGAAACGCCAGTGAAGAGTCTCAAACACGTATGAGTCCAGCAACAGAACACAAGTTTTACCTTGTCCTTATGTTTCTTAATCCCAAAGATACTAAAGCCTGCTCTAATTTCTGCCTACCCCCCAGGGATCCCAGCTGGAGTTTGACAGGAGTTGGCCCAGTGCTTACCCCATCCTTACAGCCCCATTGTTCCTCACTCTCTACTCCTCTCCCCACCACAGGCCAAAATGTCAGCGGCCATGTCTCGGCGGATTAGGGCAGTTTTTGGGGCTGTGAATTTCTGGGCCATCATCCTCTTCAACATCCTAGCCCTCAACAGCCTGGAGTTTGCGTTGCTAGTGACCAAGAGACTCCTCCAGACAGGTAAGGTGCTACCAGCCCTCCCCATCGAGGGACACCTTGTCTTGATGGGGAGAAACTGGTAGGGGAGTTGATGACTGGGGCTTTTGAGTCCTATTGGATATGAAGTGGCCTAGTCATTGGGTTGTTATGTGGCAGCTCCCAATGTGCTCAATTCCTATGGAAAAGAATGGTTTCTTATCCCCCACTCTTCTCATGTGAGCTCTCTGGAGCACGAGCTACCTTCCAGGTGTGCTTGTACAGCTCCCAGCACAGCCTGACAATGTGGTTTAGACTCCTTGCAGCAATGCAAAGGTCACATTCACTGCACCAAGGTGGGCTGAGTCCCTGGTGATGAAATGGTGCCCTTGCTGGAGAAAGTGACTTACTTGTCCTACCTCTTCTCCTTTTGCTTTAGCAGTTACTCCTGTGTCAACCTGAAGGTGACAGGTACAAATCCTCATGCTACAGTACATTAGAAATGTACAGCAAATATGTACATTTCTAATCAGTGGACGGTGGCACCATTTTGAAGTCTTCTTGAGCACCCCAGGGTATAAATAGCCGTCAGGAACCCATGTCCTCCAGCCCTCTCTGGGATGAGGCTGGCATAGGAAACCGATAATGTGACACCCTGGGCTCAGTGTGCCAGAAGTGCCTGCCCGCTGAGCTAGCTGGCTTTTGCTGGTTGCATTATTCATTTCAGAGGTCCTGTTTTAGCAGGTACAAAGCCTGTGTCTCCTCTCTGCTGTGGATACCAGATTTGTGATTACAAATACCATTAGATCTTTTATAAGTGAAGGGAGAGCTCCCAGCTCTCAGTCACTTATGTAGGTGACAAAAACATGTGTTTCCCTATGTGTACATTGTGTCCCCATTGAGTAAAGAACAAGGCTGGGGTTGATCCTTGGCATTAGTAGGACCTAAAACTTCCAGAAGGTCACAGTGTTGAACAACAATGGACATGGGCAGATTGAATGGGCAGAAAGTCAACCACCAAGTCTAAACCTGGGGAACAGAAGGAGTTTTGGGGGTAAGACAGTGCTCAAAGCCACTCCAGCATATTCCCACATTAGCTGTGGTCCATGATGCTTTGGTGGGCTCAAGCACAGCCCACCTAATTCAGATCATCTAAAATCTGATCTTGGGGTTTTCTCTCTTCTCTCAGTGAAGCTGTAGGGTTGGATCTACAATGGAAAATGTTGTTGGCCATCATGAACTTGTAGGACCTCCTAAACCCACCTGAGAGGCAGCATTGCTGGAGAGAACAGTTGGCCTTGTTAGGCAAGCTGCCACACCAAGATGACCATGTCTCCCTACACCTTCTAGGTTTCCCTGTCAGCACCTTGTCCATCTGGTTCATCACATACTGTGGAGTGCAGCTGATCAAAGAGCATGAGCGCATCCTGGCCATCAAGGAGGAGAAGACTGACAAAGCAAAGGCAGAGTAGAAGGGAGGCATCAGCAGGCTTGTCCCAAAGCCTCATCCCACTTCCAGCCACTGCTGCCAGGCCAGCCACTGGCTGGGGCTTTCCAAACACTCCAGACAATCGGACTGCTGTATCTCACCCACGTAGAAGTCACCTGGAAGGCACAGGTCACCCCCTTGCTGCGGGAAAGGTTTTCTGTAAGACATAGTGGGAGTTTTGCAGGCTCCCCATGTGTGACAGGTCGCTGAGGTAGGCTCCCAGGACATTTCTCTAATGCTGGAAAGAGCCATCGCCATCATTTTTCTGACCCCCTGACATTGTGCAGGACTAGAAATTTCCCTCCCTGCTTCCAGGGGGTCCACCAACACTCAGGTGGATCTGATCCCACACTCCCTGACCTCACTCCCACAGGATCTGTAGCCCATGTGTCCCAAAGGAGACTCTCCAAGCTCCGCAACTGGAGGTTTTATGGTGGTCCAGACACACAGCTATGAGAAAGGGATTAGCTGGTGCTAAGCCTGCTCTGAGCAGACCACCTCCAGGTCACTTCCAGCCCGAGCATCCCATGTTTCCTTCACTACAAGAAGTGGTCAGCATCCTATGGTTGTGCAGGAAGGATTGTGAAATGGCTCAGCACAATCTATACCTGCAAAGAGGCTAGTAAATAAATAGTACAGTCTTTATAGCAAAGGGTAGGAAGACCAGGAAGTCTTTAATACCCATGGAAGGGTATTATCTCCCCACCACTGGCAGCAGTGTGGAGCCACAGCTGTTACAATCTCTGCAAAACAGGTCTCATCAGTGCTAAATGTCTTGAAAAAAAGTAATTTAATGCCAGCATCAGGCATAGTTAAGGAGAGTGCGGGAGTCACACTTGCTTCACAGCCATCGTGCATCACATACAAAATGCCTGAGGACCAGCTGAAGAAACAACACATAGCTCACAGGTGCTTGGTCCCCAGGCCCCAGCTCAAACCCAAAGGGCTCTCCACTGCCAGGTCTCAGGCTGATGTGGCCACCATGACCATCCTGCTATGGTATGATATGCTGTGATTTTTCAGATGCCATGGACAAAGGTTTAAGCTTACATGCCTGTCCATGGCTGAAGATGCTGTAGCCAACTCTTGTTCATCTCCAGCCATACATTCCTCAACTGACTTTAGTGCACACAGCCTAAGCCCAAGACTGCATGGCTGAATGAGCACACAAGCGTATATATAACCAAAGCAGAAAGACCCTGAATGAAGGGCAGTGATCTGGAGCTGGGTGGTGGAAGGAAAGCCTGTGATAGCTTCCCTGGAGAAGTAGACTTTAGGACACTGCATAGGGAGTGTATTGAATAAATGTACACGTGTGAAACATGGTGCCTTGGGGAAAAGATGAAAAATAGCTCTGGCTTCCTTGCACTTTAGAGTAACTTTCAGCGGCCTTATGTCTGAGTTATGTCAATGTTTGGTGAGGGCAGAATCTGGACCACTTTACAAAGTGGGTCAAGACGCTTGGTGCTGGTGTATTCTGGCTTCCCTGTGGATGAAACAGGATCAGTTCCTAGCCAGCTTTCAGCTCTGCCAAAGTACTTTGTCAAGTCCCTGATAAATGTCACTTATTTATGTAGTAAATAAATGTTGGACATCTATGATGCCTGCTGCTCATCACTGTCATGGTGCCGTAGTGCAGGTGACACCCTGGGCAATGGTCAATGCCCTGCCGTTAGAGCTGAGAGACAAAATGATCTATTTGCAGGTCCTCACTTCCCACCCCTAACAGTGATATGAGACATCACTGAGCTTAAAGGAAACCCACCTTAGTGGCATCATCAGATTGGAGGTTTGGCTGCAGCTTGATTCATACTTACCTTTATTTTGACTCCATCTTCATGCCAGTGAAATATCACAAGCCTACTGCCATCAAATTGTCATCCATGTACTTCTTGAGCTCAAAGCCGTGTTGGTTTTATTTCTTGGAGCCCAACTAAAACTGTTGGAAGGGCAGGTATTGTGCCTTGGTGGCATCTCTGGTCACATCCCCAAAACCAGGCACATAGTTTTTTAACACAAGAAGCTGCTGGACTTCTGGTGGATGTTTCTTGGCATCTCCATTATTTCAGATTTACTCTTTTCCACCAAAACAGCTATGACATGCTGTGTTTCCTCCCAGGATAAAACTCACCTCGCCCTTCTCCATACAGTTGTCCTCACACAGCTGAAGCTACCCTGAGCTGCTGAAACCACAGGCTCTGATTCCGCAGGTGGCTCAGCTCAGGTCCTTGGCTGCCCGGGAGGACAAACAGAGTCACCCACTTCCCGGTGTCGAAGTGGGTGACTCACATGGCAAAGCCCAGTGACTCTGCACTGCCCTCCTGACGCGGGTACTCCAGGAGAGAAAATAACCCATTCACTAAGGATCTAAATTTACCCAGCAGCTGCATCGCTGGAGCTGCCAGAAGGAGCTAATCTTAGACACCAACTGAGCGGGTGATTTGTTAGAGAGGCTGTTCATGGGAGAACTTGGGATTTGCCCCTCTTTGCCTGAGGTTCTCCCTGCAGCTATTTGCTTTTACAAACCCAGGAGGTCTGGTGGGCCAGGAGCACCCAAGTGGTGTTATCTCGACCAGCACAGACTTGCTCAGCAGAGCTTCAGCCTCAGTGTATATCTCTGTAGAAAACAATTCATCAACTGCTCCTCTCTTTCTTGGAGAAAAGTATCTTGTCTGATCTGGTTATCACCTGTCTGTTACCAAAACTCACCTGGGAAGCCAAGAAAAGCAATTGTTCATTGCTATTGCAAGTACAAATCCCAATTAACAGCCCTACATTGGACACCTATTCAACCTGACATGGCTGTAATTCCTGCATTCACCTTCCTTGTTCTAAAATTGTGCATGGGAAGGAATGATCCTGCTACATTGCATCCCCTTAGGATGCTTTCCATAGATTCTCACTCACTTCCACGTCATGGGGGGTGCTATTACCCACTTGGAGACATACTTAATAAGTGACTTAGTCCATTAGTTATTGGAAATGACTAGCTGTAGCCCCGTTAGATCTGGGGCCAGTTAGCCAGGGGCTACCTCAGAACAGCCCATCACCATTCAGGGCTGTTGTCTGTTACACAGCAGTCAGCACTCTTAGAGGAAGTGGAGGGAGATCCCTGGGGAGGATCGATTCATCCATCCATCTGAATGAATGGTAACTATGAGCACTGCACCCTCATAGCATGTACATGTGCCATCTCATTTTCTTTTAGATGCTAAATCCCTCTGGGCTTGGCTGGTATTTGTTTGGAGACCAGCTTACCTTAGTGGTGACACACTGGACCCAGCAAATGGAAGGCAGATGGGACAAATCTACTACGATCAAAGTCTCTACAAGAGATAGGGCTCAGAATTGATGTCTGCCTCCAATTCCACTGCTATCATCAGAGAAAAGACTTGGAGAGGGACTTTTTACAAGGACAGGTAGGGATAGGACAAAAGGTAATGGATTTAAATTGACAGAGGGGAGATTTAGATGAGATCTTGGGAAGACGTTCTTCCCTGTGAGGGTGGTGAGGCCCTGGCACAGGTTGCCCAGAGAAGCTGTGGCTGCCCCATCCCTGGCAGTGTTCAAGGCCAGGTTGGACGGGGCTTGGAGCAACCTGGTCTAGTGGAAGGTGTCCCTCCCCATGGCAGGGGGTTTGGAACTGGATGAGCTTTAAGGTCTCTTCCAACCCAAACCATTCTGTGATATGATATGACTCTGCCGATGTCCATATCTCCCCTCTGTCAATTTAAAGCCATTCCCCCTTGTCCTGTCATTACCTGCCCTTATCAAAAGCCCCTCTCCAGCTTTCCTGTCAGCCCTTTAGGCACTGGAAGCTGCTCTAAGGTGTCCCTGGGGCCTTCTCTTCTCCATGCTGAACAAGCCCAGCTCTCTCAGCCTGTCTCCATAGCAGAGGTGCTCCAGCCCTCGAAGCATCTCTGTGGCCTCCTCTGGACTCACTCCAACAGTCCTCTCATCTCAGGTAAGTGTTTAACTTGGGTGCAGCGAACCAGCTCCCAGAGATACCTGTATCTACCCATGCTTGTAGGGAGCCTAAATGACACAGTGTACTGAGGAGGCAGTGCACTTGATAAAACCAGGGCTGCATCCCCATGCTTTGGAGCTGGCCCAGCTGCTGTGCAAAACCACTGAAGGTAACGGATACCACAGACCAGGTGCGGAACCAGCATAGTCACTGTCTGGTGAGAGCACCTCTGAGAAGGGATGGGCTGTATCTGCACTTTAGCAGATGCGCTTTGTGACACAGGGAGCATGGAAGCAAACCTTGGACGGCAGCACACGCTGAGCAGCACAGTGAAAAGGAAAACAAGCCAGGGCTCAAGAGACATTAAAGGCAGAGGGGGAAAAATCCCTGCTGGTAGCACAACATTGTGATTAAACTTGGGAAAGCACAGAACTAATGCAGAGGGAGGGGAGAGGAGAGGATGGGAGTGTCCAGCCCCACATGTCTGGGAGCAGAGGAACGTTTCTGAAGTTCGACCCAGTTCAAAGATCAGTGTTCATCGCCTGATGCTGTCACAGATGAGCAGCCCAGCAGAAGAGCTTATCATGTGAGCTCAGAAAACAGCTTATGATTATTTCCCTGCTATATTGGTACCTCCCAGATGCTGCTGGAACCTCACCAGTACAAAAGGGCTTCATACCAGTATAGCTCCCTCCCTCTTTGCACGTCTGTAGACAAAAGCACAAATCACTTTTATAAATACATCCATGCCAGGGTAAGGAGCTACTATGGCTTTAGATACACAAAGAAGGGTGGCTAATATCTTTGCATAAACTTAATTAGATCGTTAATTAAATCTGTGCCATAACTGAGTGTCAGCTGGCCCAAAGGGTCCATAGTAACAGAGATAAAACAGATACATGTACAATTTTTACTGTAGGCATAATTATAGCTATTCTGCTCACCCATGTCTATCCAAAATAATTTGTTCCTTTCTGAGCTCCATGAGAAGAGCTGGACAAAGACTGGCCATTGAGGACCCACAGGGCTTCCTAGACATCCACGGCATGCAAGCGGGATATTAGACCTGCTGGAGACTCAGCCTTTCCAGAACATCAGCTCAAGGTGAAGCAGGCTGTCCTGCTGTGGCTCTAGACTTCAACATAGGAGTGTTGCATCTCAGTAGACCTTAGCAGGAGACCCTCAATTTACAATAATATACCCATGTGTAGATGTCTTAATCTGTGAGTTGAAGCCCTCCACTGCTCTCTCTTTACTTCTCAGTCTACTGCCTCAGACTTCGTCACCAAGATGTGGAAAAGATGGATTTATTAATGATGAGGCATCCAGAGACTGTGCCATTCAGGCCCATGCATGTATTGCAGGCAAAGCAGAGCCATCCATCTCCCAGGCTCCTTGAGTCTCTTCCTTTAGTGAGACTTTCAAGTAACTTCCAGCATAGGTGCCATGTCCCGTACAGGGATGTAAATAAATGGCTCTATATTCATTTTCCACCCCCTTCCAGACTCCTGAAAAGTGACTCTTGAGGAGAATAAAGGACAAACCTGCGCAGAAAACCAGCCCTGGGAGCGAGCTGGCTGGAGCCAGGGATTCCAGAAGGCCCACATAAGACGCTCCCTTATTGCATCTTTCCAGCTTTGACTTCACTGTCTATTTTTAGTACAGCAAAAGGTTTAGGAGTTTCAGAGCAGTCGTTTTAGCAGTGCTGGGAGAAGGTCTCGGCCTTGCCATTCATGACCCAGAAGGCAGATTCAGATGTTTGATTCATCTGGAGGTTGTTTCCCAAGCACGGTGGCTGAGCCAATGGGTCACATATGTCTCCCATCATGACATGGCAGCAAGAGCTCCTGCACCCCCTGGGGTGACTCATGGGCTGACAGACCCTTCCTGAAGCATGGAGGCTGGAATTACAGCTGTTCCCCCGGCCCCCTCCCTTCCTCCTTGTCCAATGTGTCATATTAAAGGGTGATCGGCTTACACATGCTTCAGTATAGATTCCTTAAGCTTTGTAGCGCTGTGGCTATATATAAAGCCCTACGCTGGAAGCTGAAGTACACAGACAGCTGCGATAGTAGCAAGCGTTTCACATTCCCACTGTGCAGACGGTCTGGAAGCAAGGGAGACTGCGGGCCCTGCTTTGAGCAAGTTTCTTTACCAGGGGCTTAGGTATAGATATATTCATAAATATATATCTATAAAAGAAGGATTGGGAAAAAAAGGAGAAAGAGCAGTTACTCTTCATCATGGGTTTGCCTTTAGATCAAGCAGAAGAATTGCGTCTCTACCAGCAAACTCTCCTCCAGGATGGACTCAAAGACATGTTGGACCACAATAAGTTTCTGGACTGTGTTTTTTTCTTAAAAGTCAAGGGGAAAGCGTTTCCCTGCCATCGGCTGGTGCTGGCAGCATGCAGCCCCTATTTCCGAGCGATGTTCCTCTCAGACATGGAAGAGAGCAAGAAGAGGGAGGTCAGTTTAGAAGATGTTGATCCAGACGTCATGGGCAAGATCCTCCATTATATCTACACCTCTGAGCTGGAGATCACAGAGCAGAATGTGCAGGACATCTTCTCCGTGGCCAACATGTTCCAGATCCCCTCCATCTTCACCGTCTGCGTGTCCTTCCTGCAGAAGCGGCTCTGCCTCAGCAACTGCTTGGCTATCTTCAGGCTGGGCTTGATGCTGGACTGTGCCCGGCTGGCCGTGGCAGCTCGGGATTTCATTTGTGATCGCTTTGCACTGGTTTCTCGTGACGAGGAGTTCTACCAGCTCTCCCCGGACGAGCTTATTGCCATCATCTCCAGTGACTCCCTCAACATTGAGAAAGAGGAGACTGTCTTTGAAGTGGTGATGAAGTGGGTGGGGACCAAGGACCATGACAGCCGGCAGAAGGCCTTGCCTGTCATCTTTGAAAGCATCCGCTTCCGCCTCATGCCCAATGACTACATCAAGGACCACGTGGAAAAGCACACCATGGTGAAGTCCAGCCCAGAGCTGCTCAAGAAACTGCAGATGGTGAAGGATGCCCAAAAAGGCAAATTCACTGTGGTGAAGAAGAAGAAAGTGAAGAAAAGCAGTGGAAAGCAAGAGAAAGACAATGTTGTCAATGGAGCAGTAGAGGAGGAGGAAGATACAGAGGAGGATGCTCTCCCAGGGATCTTAAATGACACAATGCGCTTTGGGATGTTCCTTCAGGACCTTATTTTCATGGTGAGCGACAGTGGAGCAGTGGCCTATGATCCCACTGCCAATGAGTGCTATTTTGCCTCCCTGTCTACTCAAATCCCAAAGAACCACATCAGTCTGGTGACCAAAGAGAATCAGATCTTCATTGTTGGAGGACTATACTACAACGAGGACAGCAAAGAGGATCCCATGAGTTCCTATTTCCTACAGGTACTAGCTTTATTTTTCTTTTGTTTCTTTAACCACTTTGGAGCATCACCAGTCTTTAGCTTCCATGTGATGTGAGTAATATTCATTATCATATGATATTAAGATGCAAGCTGTAAATGAAGGTGAAACATCTGAGTTGCTTCACTCTTCTCCCTATATTTTCAAGACAGATCCCACTAGAAGGGGTTCTGGTAATTGGGAAAGGAGGCTTGAAGGAATAAGTAATAGGAATAAGCCTTCCTGATTAAAATCCTGAATAGGGCACCACTTTGAACACTGCATTTGGCCCAACCCTGGCTGTCATAGGGTACATTGGCTGGAAGGTTAATGGCATCAGGTCTGGGTTCTGCTTTGCATCCTTTGTGTTATGAATCCCCAGCTAAACCCAAGGGTGAGTTTGCCAAGTGCTAACAAAGGAACAGCAGCAGCTACAGCCACAGAGCAAACACCCCAAGGACACAGGGTATGTCCCTACATACCAGTATGTGCCCCATTTCTAGTTGCTGTTCTTGCCTCTGGAAGTGTGCTGGGTCTGATCAGTCTGGAGAAGGGCAAGGGAAGATCTCATTGGTGTCTGCAGCTCCCTCTTAAGAGGAGATACAGAAGAGTGATCCAGGCTCTTCTTGGATTTGCACTAAGATGGACAAATGACAATGGCCACCGGTTGCAGTAATGGACATTTCGGTTAGTTGTGAGGAAAAGGTTTTCCCAACATAGGCGGTGGGGTACTGAAGCAGGGGTCCAGAGTGGTCACAAAACCTCCATCCTTGGAGACATTTAATACTTGACTGCACAAAGCCCTGGCAACCTGTTCTAACTCCAAAGTTGTGCCTGCTTGAGCATGGGGGCTGGATGAAAGACCTTTGGAGGTATCTTCAGGCTAAAGCATTCTGTGATTCTAAGCTGTAACCAGCAAACTTTCTATATTCAGCTCCCAGTTTGCCACTGACTCAGTAGCAAATGCCTTGGGTATCATGTGGCTGTTTGTATCGCCTTGCCCACAAGAAGGGGACAGTGGTCCCTTCACAGCTTTCCGTGGCACTCATGCATGGGAAGTGCAGACAAGTCTCCCAGGGTTGGGAAGTGCCATCCGTTTCAAAGGTGTAATTTATTACCACCAGTGTCATTATGTAGCTCGAGGTTTCTATATGAGTAAGAGAGCCTTTTTGAATCTTTTTTTTCAGATGAAACTTCACACAAATGTAGACAGGCAGCTATATAACAAAACTTTGAACCACCATGCCAGTGCAGCAGCAACCATCTGACTGTTTCTATCCTCCCCTTTTTTCTGCTGAAGCCAGGAGAGTTAGGTCAGGGATAGTTTAGACTTAAGGACAGGCACAAAAATACAAAAATGCTGATAAATCCCAGAGGCCTTGCAAATTTTGGCAGGAACAAAATGATTCCATCGACATTTCAGATGGAAAAGGGTATCCTTTATTTGTCATTTCTAAGATTTATGACCTGAAAACAATGCTGAATCCATCAAGAAGCAGGAACTAACTATCCTGGTGACCAAGCTGCTCAGACTTGCACTATAAATAACCCATATGTGGACCACAGATTACAAAGAGACAATAACCACAGGCACCCAGCTGAGGCCAAGTCTTTGGAGGCAACCCAGCAAGCTAAAGTTCTTTGGCCTGAGCCCACAGCAAACAGTGCTTCAGGCAATGCTGCATCACAGCTCCATCTTGCAGAGTCCCACCAAACTGGCTGAAAGACATCACTCGCTCCTCTGCTATATTAAATGTTTTTGTCCCAGTTTACAGTTCCCATCAAGCCATGGTGCCCAGAGAGCCCCAGCCTCATAATCTTTCATGGTTTTTTTCTGATGGGAGATGAGGCAATGCCTTGATATACAGATGTCCAAGGATCTGCAAGGATTTGGGCATCTGATTTAGTAGTGCCCTATGAATCAGTTTCCCCATCTATCAGATGGGTCTGTCACACTCTGGTCAGCAAGAAGAGCTGTGGTCTTTGCAGTACTGTCTCAGTTGTGTTGTACTGTGTTGGGTTGATAAGTAGTGTGTAAGTACCTGATGTGCAGATAGACACATGTACAGCTCATCTCACAAACACACACACTGAGGTGATACAGGACAACAACAGTATCTTGAGAAGCAGAGGAGGAACATGGTAACTGATTATTTGCCAGAAAGAAGAATCAGTGGGAAAAGAAGGGGCTCAGGGGAGTGAGCTGCGTAGCCAACATTGCCCACACCTTGCTCTACCTGGCAGAGATGGAAAGTATCAGGATGAAATACTGTGGTGTGGGCTACACCTGAAGAGGTTCAGGCAAAAATTCTAAGATTCAAGTGCTTCAGCTCCTCCAGCCCCAGGAACTATTCATTGTAGGTCCAATATGGGACTCTCTCCTCCAAGGATGACCAAAGTTATTCCAAGTCAAGGCTTTGGTGCATAGACAAGATTATGTTCATGCTGGTGTATCTCTGCTCTTGTGCCTTGCCATAAAACATATGTCGTATGATATATGACTTGGAATTGCACTAAGATCTCCCTTTCTGCACCAAATGGTAAGGCACAGGCATTGCAGGAAGTGCCTGCTGGGGTGACCAAGCTGCATGTGGGAATAGAATTTTCCCTCAGCCTCTGGACCCTGATTTTTGCTAAGCAAATGGGCCGGGTGAGCACACACTAATGACCATGTGTTTCCTTTCAGTACGACCATCTGGATGCAGACTGGCTGGGGATGCCCCCGCTGCCCTCCCCTCGCTGCCTCTTTGGCCTGGGAGAGGCAGAAAACTCTATATTTGTGGTCGGAGGGAAAGAACTGAAAGAGGGAGAGAAGACTTTGGATTCGGTTCTGTGCTATGACCGGCTGTAAGTGTTCACATGCAAGTGTGGGGCGGGAGGTGGCTTACAGGAGAAGGTGAAGCAGCTGCCATTGAAAATGATCCCAGCTCTCCAGGGGCCGAAAGGTTTCAGAGACAGGGCTTGAACTCTGCATGTAGATGCTGGGACCATTGGGACTGTCTCAGGCTATACCCTGGGACACTGAGTCATATCTGGCCAGCTGCTTCATTTACTGTAACTGAACCTCCCCAAGATGGAAGCCGTAATGGGGATATTATGTTATCAGGGACTGATCTTAGTAGATGTTTACGTGAAGCATACACAAAGGAGTGAGAGGAGTTTTTCCTTCTGCTCTTGCCCATTGGTTGGAGATCCAGTGACATTCATCATGATCTCACCAGGAGTGGCTTTGAACAGGCAAGTTTGTTTTGAAAATACTCTGATGTGGCACTGAATGGACCAGCCTAATTGATATCAGGCTTAATATCCAATTATTTTTGGACAATGGACTCTGACCCATGTTACATCATAGCCTTTATTAAAAAGCACCATCCTCTTCTGCTCGCAGAAGACAGAAGCATCCAAAGACTGCTGCCAAAGAGGCAGAGAAGTAGACATTTACAAGCCCTTGCTTGGTTTATATTTAGATGCGTGTGTTTCAAAGTCTGCTTTATGGGCAGAGACTTGAAACCAGTTTCATTCCCACAGAATGGGGCATTCATCTGCCCCTGCATCTGCCCCCACTGAGTGCTCAGGGAAGGGTTTGAATACTGATTTGAAGCTGGCAGAGATGTGATCAGCACCACTTGCCTTTCTAGCATTATTTAAGTCAAGATTTCAACTATAACAAACCTGGAGAGGGCAAAGTGCTGCTCGACGGGATCAAATATTTGCCCAAATTGGTTGGGCAATTAGAAAACTTAAGAACTCTCAGTTCTTAAGTAAAACAAAGTGCAGGTCTTGGGGGCTACCTCCTACATGTATGAAAACTGGGGACAAGTCTAAGCTACATGGATACGAATGGGCACCTGTCGAGAAATTGGTCAGCCCTATTTGGGTACCAGTTTGGGGTTTCCAAGGCCTTACAGCTTCATCCTCTGCTGTCCCAGATCTAGCTCAGAGGCTTCAACAGAGCACTGCACTGCGAAATGTGGGCATACCCACCCCCGTGGGTCCTTGCTGAGTGTCGGCCAGCCAAAGCACACCAGAGTGGTAGGGGATGGCCAAAAACCATTTGTCATCAGGATCTTGTACCCCTAAGTCTTATTGGTTTTAATTTTTTTCTGCCATGCAGAAACCTGTCTTGTTTTTGTTCAGCTGGTAATGCTTGGAAATGAAGTGAAATCCTGGGAGAAGTGGGAATGTGTACCCAAAAAGCCCAGGAGTAGGGGATGCTGCAGAAAATAAAGAGTAATAGCATAAACATTCTGCATATTTTGTTTCCTCCCTTTTTTTAGGATCACAAAATTTACTCATGAGCCCTGTCTCATTGATAACCTCATATTTTTGAGATTGAGTCACCTCTAGGTTTGGAAAATACAATGTACTCCAGGCCTTACCAAGAAAGCTACAAATCCTTTTGCTTCCAATCTTTCCCTGATCCAGGTCCTTCAAGTGGGGTGAAGCTGATTCCCTCCCTTATGCAGTCTACGGCCATGCGGTGGTATCGCACAACGGTCTTGTCTACGTCATTGGTGGCAAAGGAAGTGATAAGTAAGTCAAAAGGCAAGAGAAACTCAGGGAGTCATCCCCCAAACTAGTGGGAGTGTGGAGAGTGAGTTGGTACCTCTCCAACCTGGATCCTGTATGGGTTAAGAGGGTTAGAAGGGGTATGAGGTGTGGATCCTTCCCTCTCAGATTGCTTCTGTGACTGCAGTCCTTCCCAAGCCCTCAGAAGTCCCACAGGGACATCAGGGAGATGGTACTGTCCTTGCAGGAGAGGGAACATAACATCCCCTTTGCTCACAAAATAAATGTCACAGAGATTGAGACAGGCACTGAAGAGCAAGAAACTCCTTCACATTCAGGGTCTCTTGTCTCTGACTTGTTGTGGAGCAGTGTGGTCCTAGTAATCAAATCCAGATGGGTGTTTGCAATAGGAGTGAAAAACCTCATCAAACCTGACCTCCATCCTGCCTTCCTGCAGGAGACGGGCTCAGCAGAAACAGCCTCTCTCAGGGCGCACTGCAGCCATTGCTTTGCAAGGCAGAGGTGTGACTGTTTGCAGAACAAACATGCCAAAAGCCAGCAAAGATAGGTCCTGCTCTGACAGGATTTTCGTCTGAAAAGCGTGAGCGTGCATACATTCACACACCTTACATTGCCATCATGGGGACAGGGACGCTGATGGTCATATATTGCAGCAACAAACTGGATCAGGACCACTGAAACACTGTCTTGATGGCTGTGTGCAAGTTTCTGAGAGGCAATTAGCTACATGGACCCATATCCAGCTCTGTGAGCACTATACTGAACTTTTAGGACTCCTACCCAACACGAGCACAGCAGAAGGGGATATGTTATACACATAAATGATGTCTCCACGTGTGGGCATCTTTGGGTATATACCCAAGCAAAGGCACGCGTGCCAATATGGAGGAGAAAAATCCTCTCTAGACACTCCACGTTCTTCCCAGCAGACATCCCCAAACTCCTGTGTTGCAAAGCTACCCCTGGCAAGTGATCAAGGCTTCTGTTCTCTCTCATCTTTCTTTAGGAAGTGCCTGAAAAAGATGTGTGTCTACAACCCATCCAAGTTTGAGTGGAAGGAGCTGGCTCCCATGAAAACCGCCCGCTCCTTGTTTGGAGCCACTGTGCATAAGGACAAGATCTATGTGGCGGCTGGCGTGACCGACTCCGGCTTGACCAACTCAGTGGAAGTCTATGACATTGCCACCAACAGGTACGTACCTGAGCACAGCTTCAGGCGGTAGTTACATGAGAAGCAGCTACAAGTGTGCATTAAGCAACTTGTAGCCATTTTGGAGGTTTCTTTGGAAGTCCTGGTACCAGTTACTCACAGTTTGTATTCCTCAGAGAGCTGGGCATCACCAATGCCACTGCAACTGGGCTGTGGATCATCTCAGGCTCACCTTTAAAGCAGTTTCACCAACTGGTGCAGTTCTTGGGTTCCCTGCAGTGTTGTAGCTTCATCTTGGCAGCTTTACCCAACACAATAGACTCTCTGACTTTGGGTGGGCCTTGCAGCTGCAGTCCTACTGCTGGGGCATGCTGGTCCATGCAAGGTGTGCTTTACAGCTCACTTAGTGCAAAATGCAGTTGAACTAAGATGATGGAGACAGGTATTTCTAACAACAGATGGTGCATGATCCCATTCCATCTAGACCTACACAAGTTAAACCATCACTAGCTAATTCAGTTGTTGATTCCTGGTTCAAGGCCAGCCTCAGCATGGAGGTAGGCAGGGTGCTTTAACATGTCCCCTCTCTCTACATGGCAGGTGGGACACCTTCACTGAGTTCCCGCAGGAGCGCAGCTCCGTCAGCCTGGTGAGCTTGGCTGGGGTGCTCTACCTGCTTGGAGGGTTTGCCACAGTGGAGACAGAGTCGGGAGAGCTGGTGCCAACGGAGTTGAACGACGTTTGGAGGTGATGATCTTCCCCATGGCTGCCCACAGGAGTATGGGAGGGATGCTAGTGGTAGCCACTGGAGGAACAGATAGCTTCTGTCTTTCTTGATGCTATCAATGAGATGGCTACACCAGCATGAGGCTGCAGGTTCAGTGGGCGAGAAGTTTGCCCTGTGCTGTGCTGGAGGGCACATTAGGTGATTCAGTGATCTCTCCCAGCCTCAAATAGCAACTTACCAGGGAAAATCAGCTCCTTTAGCTTTGTTGCTGCATTGTCATTTTGCCTGGAGCTGGTTCCAGACCTCCCTTTGGTGTGAAGCAGCACTTCTGCAATGAGTCCTCTCCCTGGGAAAAGCCAGTACTCAGGCTGGAAATCTGATAGTGTTATGCGTGAACAGAAAGCACATTCTGATGGCTGCTAATAGAGCGTTAGCTGCTCCTGTCCTTCACATCTGTGGCTCTAGAGCACCCTCAGCAGGCACCCACTGGCCCTCACCATGGATGCTCAGTCTTGGTGTCACCAAACCCTTTCCCAATGGAAAAATACCCACCTCCCCTAGTCTGGTGCTGCAAAGCAGAGCAGATCAGGGCTGAAAGTCCCCACGCAGCTTCCACAGATGCCTTGTGGCCAAATAATGCCTATAGGACTCACACCATGGGCTACCACCACCATGGAGAGCAGCTTGAGAGAAGAAGCCTTCCTTACCATAACTGTCTGTCTGTCTGTCTGTCTCCAGATATGATGAAGAACAGAAGAAGTGGGAAGGGGTCCTCCGGGAGATCCAATACGCCTCCGGTGCCACTTTCCTTCCCGTGCGCCTCAACATTTTGCGCCTAACAAAGATGTAGCAAGGCCTGATTTGTTTATTTTTCCATGGGGGTCTGGGTTGAGGAGGGACGTGGGGACGTGAGACCATGCTTATCAGCACAGAGATGTGGCATCTGGATACTGTGTGTGGGACATTGCATCTGTGATTGATACTTTTTTACTTAAATGGGAAAGGGAGGAGATTATCTTGAAGCCCTACGGGAACTCGAAGATGCTCACAAGATAACTAGAGAAGGAAAGAAGGGATCTGGAGCCTGCAGGCATCCGGGGTAGGCTGAGAAGCATGGAGCAGTGAGTTGTTCCACTATCACTTAGACAGGACAAAAAGATCACACACTTGTTCTGCTTCTTTCTCCATGTTTTCCCTGTCTTCTCACCTGCTGTTAAACCTCTCTAACCAACAGTGAAGGCAGAAAGTGGGTCCCAAGGTACTAAGTTGACATTCCCCGAGGAAGGGGGTCTATAAAATATTTCCCCATCTAAGGTAGCTCTGAACATGGTGCTAGAGCCCACCTTGGAGGAGAAAAGGAAGGGTCTAATTCAAGTAGTACAGGAGAGACCTTGGGGAACCTTGATGAGTTCGTGGGTGATGAAGGTTGTTTGGATGAGACAGTTAAAAGAAAAGAACATGTGAGAATGGGCAGCAGAAATACGGTGCAAGTTACAGGAAAATGAAAAGAGTCTTTGTTCTTTATCTATCTCCTTGATTTTGGAGGTCAGGAGCTAAGGTCTGCAGGAAGGGAAAAGCTGTGCAAGTAGCAGGGTAGAAAAGCAGGGAGAGATGGGAACAGGAGGCCATGTGCACTCATCTTCAGCCTTTTGGGCTCCTCATCTTCAGTCATAGATCACAATGTCCTCACCTGATGATGGACAAGTGCTGTTTTTCAGGGAAAGGTTTTATATTAATGCTGTTTCTCTCATTTTTTAATGTTATGACTTTTGGGGTTTTTTTTAAAGACTATTCTAGTTTGCTAAGTACGTGGAGATCTCAGATGTGTTTGGCTCTAGGAGAGCCTCCTACTGAGGAAAAATTCGTATTTATTTTAAAGTTATCCATAATGATGTTTTGATAGAAACATGACTGTACTGGCAGCAGGACAAAGATCTGCTAGAGCAGAAATCTCCTTATGCCCACACCATCTGACCAGTGGTTTATTTAAAAATAAATTATTAGGCTATTTCAGAAGAAATCTCCTGTGTCTGCGTGTTAACGGAGCTGTAACTGAATTTCCACAGCAACTAGACAGAAGGACCAAGCAGTGATGAACATACGCTGCAAGCCAGCCCCATGGAGAGCCCTAGCAGAGCCCCAGGATTTATTCTTCTTATTTTTCTTCCAATTTGGAAGCAGAAACTTTAGCATTCAGTCCTTACAGCTATTCTCCAGAGACAGGAGAACTAGAAGGTTACCTAGGATTAGAGGGAAGCTGGTGCCTACATGGTCTGATACTATGAACAGGGGTGATAATCAGTAATAATAAAAACAACCCAAAAAACCCAAACAAATAAAAACAACCCAAGAAAACAAAGAAACAAAAAAACCCCCAAAAAAACAACAAAAAACAAAAACAAAAAAAAACCAAAACAAAACAAAAAAACAAAACAAAACAAAAAAAAACCAACACAAAAACCCAAATTCAAACCTTGCAAAATAATTCCCTGAGAGTGGCATGAAAATTATGGTATCACAAATCATATCTGGCTGATTTGTCTAGTTCAAAATGCAGACATGGGGGAAACTAAAATATGTTTGGAAGGAAAGACAATTTGGCATGAGTAGAGGAACCAGACTCTTGTCCTGGTTTCATTTTAAGGATTTAAAAAGTTATAGGATAATCTCCTTAAAGGACAATCACATCAGAACAGTAATGAAATATTTTCACAAGAAAAATAAATCCAAGGTGACTGGCTGCCACAAAATAGCTTTTTAACAAAAAAAAAAACAAAAAAAAACCCAAACCAAAAAAAAGCCACAAAAACCTTTGAAACTATCGAATGTGTAAAAATAAAAAAAATCAAAAAAAATCACATTCTACCCAGTTCTGAGAAATTCTTGTGGATGACTCCCAAGCTAATTGAAGATGAATCTGCCAAATGTAGAATAGCTTATGGCAGCAAAGAAAAAGAAAAAATAATAATAAGAAATCCATGCATAGAATAACAATTTCTCAACAGTCATTTATTGCAGTGGCAGGATACCACCTCCTGACTGGGATTAGACACCAACACCTTTGCTTAAAGCTCTTCTTGCTCGATGCAGAATGAAAATCTGTTGACACTTGGTCCTAAGAGAGGGTTAATCCCTATCCACCTGCTGCTTGGCTCTCCTGGGGGAAATCTGGGCCCTTTGAAGTCAATGGGGAATGTTGCTTCAACGAGTTGTTATGAAGAGGTCCCTTGTTATTAGCTTGAGGAGTGGTGATTAAAACTGGTCCCCATCCTTGGTTGCTCACCTCGCAAATGTCCATCGGGAATACAGTTAATAGAAGCTTAGTGCTCCTGCATGGTTCACATCCATTATAAAGCTGTGGGAGATGCCATCACTGGCACAGGGCAAGAAATCATAGAAGTAAAAATAGCTGTTGTACAAAAGGACCCAGAAGAGCTTGAAATATCCCATTGCTTGAGCAAGGAGGGGCAAAACTAGTGCATGCAAACCAGCGTTGGCCCAAGGAAGGCAGCAAAGTTGCACATCACCATGCAAAAGTGTGGCTCAGAGATGTTCACCACCACCACACAAGAGGCTGCTTCAGTCCAAAGGCAGTCACAGATAAGACATGCCATCATGAATACTCAGGCGTCATTGCTCGCTGCTGCCCAGGACACAGCTCCAGTGGCATAGGTCCCCCCATGAATATCTTCTCCAGGCAACACCAGTGGCAAAGGAGAAGGTGCACCCCAAGGGTGGGAAAAATCATCTCTCCTTCTATTAGCTTACCAATATCAGTGCTGATACAAGCTGGCAAGGTTCCCACCGCTCCGTTTTAAATCAATAAAGGCACTGGGTGCTTTTGGATGGGCTCCTGGGTTTCTCCACTACCTCAGAGAGCTCAGAGAGACCTAGCTTGTAGCTCACACAAACCTCATGGGGCCAGTAGGACCCAGGAGCTCAGCTCCCACCCTCCCTAATACCCCACCAGGGCTGTAAACACTGAGCCCCTTCCTCTATTCACTCATCACCCTTCCCTGCAAAGTTGTTTCAGTGGCCCAACAACAGTTTAATTGTCTCACACACACGCACTCACCTCCCACCAAACCAAACACAAAGTCTATACACATGAAGCAATGGCAGCAGCCAACATGCCACAGGAAGCCCATCCTGCCGAGCTGACAATTCACACAGCTGTCTGAAAAGAGCCTTTAGAAACAAACCAAACATAAAAAAGTGGTGGAGCTTTACTTTTTCTTTTATAAAAGACAAATTGTTTATTGATTCAGTCCTTCCACTTGCAACCTCTTTGGTAACAGTCATAACACTTCCAGACTGGGAGAACGCAGTGGAAAGGCCCAATTCTGACCTCTCACCACTGTCAGCGCTGATGTGCCTTGGTGAGAGGCCAAAAGCATGGCCAAGGACCTGGCCTCTAGGGACAACTCAAAACAGCCTACCCTACCATGACTCGTCTTGCTCATGGGTGGCCCAGAGAGCAGCCCCAGCACTCCAAGGCAGAAGATGGTTCGGGATGGGGATACACATTGGACCCTCAGCATCAAGGCCAACTGTGAGCTGTGCCCTGGAAGACAGCTTTGATGCACCTCTTGGGACCTCCCAGACATTGGCCAATGGGGCTGTCAACAAAGCAAGACTTGCCTGCTCCTGCAGTAGGCAATGACTTGCCCCAGTTGGCCCCATGTTGATGGACTAACCCGACCATCTCAGCCTCCCCCTCATCACACAATCCCAAAGAGAGTAACTGCTGTACTTGGAGTAAAGATAAACATATATTGATTACACATGGTCATAAAAAAAAAAAAAAAAGTAATAATAATACATTTCCTAGAACATTACTTAAGATGCTTCCGAAAAGCATCCAAGCTTCCCCTCCCCGCCTTCCCTTATCTATACAGAATAAAGTGCTTCATTTAGTTTGTTCACACTAGTAGAGCCACTGATACACTCTTAACTTGGCATGTTTGGGCAACCGATACTGAATGCCATAGAATAATACAGAGCCAAACACCAGGCATGAGAAATTAGTTTTGAGGCAAGTGTTTGGGGTTTCATTCGTTTCCTTCAAGTTCCATGCTACTGAGGTTGTTCTTACTCCTTTTTTTTGCCTTTTTTTTTTTAATTATTCATTTCTTCCTTTGCAAGTTCGACTCAACTCCCATCGTGGTTACATGTCACTAGGCAAGGCTGCACGCGGGGAAGCTCTCTCCATCCGTGTGAACAAAGGGCGTCTGTCTGTCCGTCCTTCCCTCTTGACTTCGGGCAAACCAAGAGTTTAATCAGTGGAGTTGTCTAGCAGCGGATGCTCATTTCTATTGCACTGTCACAGCCGTTCCCACCCGCCGGCTGTCCATCCATCACCACCTTCCCACCATGCTGGGGTTATGGCTGTGGTCCGAGGGGCCAGCGGTGCCTCATGGACATTATGAGGCTAACTGGTCTGTGCTACCAGGCTCCTGGGATAGATGAACCAAAGAATGACCCTCCCCACATGACTCCCTCCCTTCCCAGAGTTCAAATGAAAGCGGAGAGGAGAATTTCACACCCAGACAGGTCTGGGGTTAGGTGCATGGGCAGAGTTGTCAGTTGAACATTGTGTTGCGGTGTATTCATGAACTGCGTAATGGAAATCAAGCCCCTCTCCACCCTCGCGGTCTGTCGAAGAAGGGATGTGAGAGATTAAGGTGCAAGAGTTAAAAAAAAATAATAAAAAAAATAAAATAAACCATAAAAAGCTTGAAAACAACGGACCCAGCTCCCCCGCCTCCCGCCCTGTCTAGCCCAATGGGTGCCAACAGGGCCAACCGGGATGGATGCGGGACTGACTCGTTTTGAGCTCTTAGTACATCA